TCTATTCCAACAATACAAATCCACGATAAAAATAGAACGTTTCTATCAATATTTATCAACATCAACAAATTTCATTCAATAGTTAGTTTTTTTTTCATATTTAGTTAGCTTTGTCTTGCCATATGTCAAACTATTTTCTCTTTTCATAACCTTTTTATTCTAATAAATTAAGTGTACCGTAAACAAACTCTGTTTGAATCTCTAAGAACAACACTGAATATCTATGATAATCGTGGACAACGAATCTTTTTCATCATAAACTCAGCATCATCCATTCAATTCGTGATAATTTTCATTTATGACAAACAACTGAGTTTCTCTAGAATCTATCTCATACAATCAGAGTAATTCTGCATAATTTTTTCTCAATATATCACATAGCAATTCACTTTTTTAAATATCTCCTTTTTTAGAATTAAAGTAATGTTAAGTATTTTTTTGCTCATTGTTGTTTATTGCACATGCGTATATTTTAAAACGACGTCCGCTATTGTAAGCTGCTAATCTAGTAGTCAATCATGTGCGGTGTTTACATTGCTGACTCTGCGTTATACATAGACAAATAAAATGAAAGAACGAGAAAAAGATGGTCATGCACAGTGTAATACGAAAAACATGCAATAGCATGTGATAGTTATTTATTCACTCAGGTCAAAAAAATGTTTGTGCAGTTTGTTTTATCTACTTTGAAACTAACATTTTTTTTTATACACAATCATGGTTCTCGTTTCACCTATGTCAAAATAATTAGCAATCTATTCTATTGAACCAAGTTTCATCAAAAATCAATACCAAATGACGATAATCTCGACTCGTCATCATATGTCAGTGCTTCAAAAATTGCTCATCTTACAGTACAAAGTCAAATACTTTCTGTTGGATCTGCTTTTGCATGAACAATCTTTTCTTACATGTCTTATTATCATTCATTATAGAAATCTTAACTTTTATAGAGCATTGTTTATCGCTTTGAAAAGTTCAGCATTAACTATTGACTAGGGAGTCTCAATTAATATTTACTTTTAGTTTAATTTAACAATAAATTAAATTTGAAATAAATAAAATATATTTTTACAATTCATATTTCAGTATAAATATAAATTATTTGCTTTTCATGATTTAATAAATCAACTGAAAACAGATCGACCTATTCTCTTGACGAAGAAGACAAGTTCAATCTGTTATTTTCAACTCTTCCTTTTCAGCAATCAATTTAGTCGAAAATTAAATAACAGTAGAATATAAGGTGCATCAAAGGCAAAAGACAAGCAAAAAAATATAGATTATCTTTAATCATACATCATTCGATAGAGCCCATCGAGCTGATGAAGAATATTACCTTTTTATCTGCCCAAGTAGAAAAATCTGACGAAGATCGTATAAGATCGTACAAGTTCTTACCGACATTTGGATGTCGTAAAATCCATACTGTGTGATCTTACGAAACCGTAGAAATATCTTATTTTAAGATTTAGTATGCTTCTTACTGTAGGATGCTAATGTAAATCTTACACGATTCTTACTATACGATTCTTGCAAAATCTGAGGATCCGAATCTTATAAGATCTTATAAGATTTTGTAAGATCATACTTTTAGGTTTTTCTAATGCTATTAATCTCTATAATCATAGTTTTATGTATTTTAAATAAATATTCAATAGATTGAAAACAGTCTCATTTAAACACCACGTTGTTTCGAATTAAAAAACAGATGTTTTCGTATAGCACTTTCGATCTATGACACTCCAACGTAGAGGACTCGTAGTCCAATCATGGCTACAATAGACTATATGAAGAAGGATGAACTGTTATCAATTAATTTTAAGTTTTAATTAGTTTAAGAAGAATGTATATTGTATTACTTTTCAAAATAGAGGTAAAAATGCTTTTATATTCATTTATAATACTAAATTAATTCAGTTCGATATTTTAGACATTAAATAATCTTATCAAAATTAATTAATTGTTTTTGTATTTTGTTGATTTTTTTATTTATTTTAACTCGAATCAATGATCTAAGCTTTTTTTAAAATCTAGTTTAAATGATGTAAAACAAAACTAATTCCATTTATTATAAATATTATAATTTAGTTCAGTTGATTAAAATTAATCTAAAAGGATCTTATATTTAGAACAAATATAAAATGAATTGAATTGAATGGATCTATATTTCTTTTATTTTAACATTAATTAAAATAAATTTAATCTAATAAAATTATTTTGTTTATTTTATTTTAAAGCAAAATGATTTAATCTATTAGCATTGGTTTAGTTATAGTATCATGAAGTGAATTACTCTTTTATTTAAATTATACTTATTTCATTTTATGTCAGTTTTTACGACTGAATTACATCGAAGTGAATACTATTTTTAATTTCAATTATTTATTTTTTTTATTTTAGCTCATATCAATAAGGTATTTAATATAAGTAAATCTTTTTTTTATTTAGATCATTCAGTTGGTTAAACTCAAAAGCAATTTTTTTTTTTATAATTTTGTTTTTCACTTATGCATTACAAATGAATATTTATATCCTTTTTGTTTTTTCTTCGTAATTTTTATAAATAAATAACTATATGCATTACTATAGATCAAATACAATCTTGAGAACCTCAAGCATTATAGAAGTCAGAAATGGGTCAAATCAACTATACGATGCTCTATAAAGCTACAAACGGCGTAAAAAAAAGTTAAATTTCGACTGTTAACAAGAAAATCGAAGTTTTCACTCTTTTTCGTGCAGTTAAGCTTTCCAAAACTACTTCGTTCAAATGTAGCTTTTCAAAATGGGTATATTCATATGTGTTTGGCAATGTTTCTTCATTTTTGTTTCTCTCAGTAAAATGTAATAGGTCCATTCACATCAACATGTAATTCTAACAGATTCGAAGAAATCATAATTGGAGGGAAAATATCAAATGATAATCATGGAGGGTGTGGGTGGGTGTGAACGTGATTCTACTCAATGACTCACACCCACACCCACACACACCCACTACCCTATGCTCTCGTCGTTGAAACTCTTTGCGTTTACCTAATTCTGGGCATGGGCTTCATGATCATCTATAATGCCAACATCGATGTTAAGCTTCAACATTTTTCATTGGAAATTGATGGCCGTTGTACAACAATTCATATTGACGATCACCTTCGCCGTCCACTGGTGCCACTTCATTCATATGATGCTACTTTTATTTCTCCACATTCAACAGTATTGATCTTGGGTTTTTCACCACTTTCGTCATTATCTGCATACTTTATTTCAACTTCTATTTTCCTTGAGAGTCCTCATCTCTCATTTTCCCAGAAAATTGTTACTATTCAACATCATCATTCATATCTTTCTGTTACCAACACGTCTGATTTTCCTTAGCACATACCATAATATTTCTGTTTTGGATATTTGCTTAGTGAACTTGCTGAACAACAGAACTACTTCGATCCAATGTCTGGTCTCTGTCGTCGTAATAACGAGAAGAAGAATCGTCAAGTTTTGTCGCACATCTTTACTTACTCTTAATTACTTCAGCGCCTTTTTAATAATCCAAAAAAACTTTATCAACCGTTGCCTTTGAAATTTACTGCCGTTCTTAATTATATTCCTCATTCACGTCCATTGCATTTGCAAGAAACTCTAGATCTATTGGTAAAACATCTACTCGATGATCAACAAAGAAATCAACTTTCTTCACTTCTTCTTCTTCAATTCTCTCACCTTTTCGACAATTCACGCCACAATATCTCCAACATAGTTATAGAAAACGTCTTCAGTACTATTCCACATTCACCACCTGCTTTCCGACCTCATCGTAATCCACATAACCGACAAGAAACACAACGTCTTATTGATGAATTTCTCGAAGCCGGTATCATTCAGAAGCCCAATTCTCCATATGCAGCTCCTGGCTTCATTGTTCCTCGCAAAGATAATCGTCCTGATCGACTCGTTGTAGATTACAGAGCTCTAAATAAAATTATCATTTATGGTGCCAGTCCACTTCCGCACGCTTAATATTTACTACAAGAGCTTGGGAAGGGCTACAAGTATTTCAGCAAACTTGGTCTAAAATCGGGATATCACCAATTTTGTATACCTCCGGCTGATCGTCCAAAGACAGCATCCGTCGTCTCTCAAGGTCACTATGAATTCCTAGTACTCTCAATGGGACCGCAAAACGCTCTTGCCGGATTTCAAAAAACTATGTACAAGGTTATGAAATCATGTCGTGATTTTTGTCACGTCTTTCCCGATGATATCATTCTTTGTTCAAAAACATTCGATGAACATATGAATCATCTACGGTTAGCTTTTGACACTCTTGCGAAGGAAAAGCTCGTCATTAATGCATCTAAATGTGAACTAGATGTTGAAAAAGTTATTGTACTCGGTCATATAGTCTCTAAAACGTCTATTACGCCAACTAGGGTGCGGGTGTGGATGTGGGTAAGTATTCTCTGAATGAACGCTCACACCCACCCACACTCACATACACACCCCACATGCACACCCTGAGTAGAATAGGTCGACTTAAAACTATCAATTTGCCTTCGTTGTAAAGATGTCTCTACACTTATATTTATCGTGATGATGAAATCTTTACGTTTCTCTTTACATTCGTTGATTTTGCTCATACTAGGCAGTTACATAGGGTAGTCAAAAAGTTCTGCAACTTTCAAATATTTATTCATAGAGAAAATATTTTGCTAATATTTTTACAATAAATGTTCGAAGTAGTCCCCATGATGTTCAATACAAAGTTTCATCCTTTCAATCCATTTCTGGAATGTCTTTTGGTATTCGTGAATAGGTATTGAATTAAGCTCCTTGGTTATTGCCGTAGCTAAACTTGTAGCATCTGGATATGTATCAAGATTACGTTTCAGGCAATTGAATAACCAAAAGCCTGAAGGAGCAAGGTCGGGTGAGTATGGTGGATGAGCCATAACCTTGACTTTTTCTTCTTGAAGATAATTAAAAACAATATTATTCATATGTGGTCATGCATTATCATGATGCAGCTTAATGCCATTTGTTGTTGATAATGGTCTTTTCTTATGTAAATTTTTGACTAGCATTTTTAAACATTCATCACGATAATAAATAGCATTAATTGATGTCCCAGAAGGTAATTCATGAACTAGTAATGGTCCATTTGTCATAAAAAAAAATAACAAACATTGTTTTTTTTCGAATTGTTGTCTTCTCACCTGTGTTGGAGGACTTTCATCTTTTGTTAGCCATGCTTTAGTTTGTTCTTTTGATTTAATTTTTCGATGATAAATCCAAGTTTCATCACCCGTGACTATATCACATAGTCTCCAGGTACCACTTTCAAGTTTTTGTAAATTTTCGATACAAATGTCAATACGTCGTTGTCGTTGTTCTTGTGTCAGTTTATGAGGTACCCATTTTGATGTTATCTTTCTTAAGCCAAGGTGCTGTTTGAGAATGGCATCTACGCTACCATGTGATATATCTAAGATGGCAGCAATATAATCAATACTAATATGTGGATCATTGTTCACCAGATCCTTAACAGCATCAATATTTTGTTGAGTGATGACGGTTATTAGACGACCACTTCGAGGATTATCTTCCAAAGATTCTTGCTCATTTGAAAATCGTTGAATCCGTCGTGTAGCTGTACAATATGAAATTACACCTTGTCCATAAGCAGTAGTTAATTCATCATGAATTTGTGTAGCTGTTAAACCTAATAACCAACGAGTTTTTATATATAAGCATATGTGCTGTTTTTCCATCTGAAAACAGAGGTGTTCAAAAAGTTCGTTGAAAATTTGCCATAATAGACACTTGTGAAACTTCATATTGGTATTTTAATAAATAAGAGATGTCACTACTAGAATAGGCCAACATGAGGAATAAAACTAATTAGAATGAAATTTTAGACAGCTGTTTGTAGAACTTTTTGACTACCCTATGTAAGATGGTTATGCATCAAAGTCAAGAATGTTTTATTTTATTTCTTCTCTTTCGTCGTCGTGCATTACATAAATTATCAACCATTCATCTGATTTGCTCACATTTTTTCAATGATTCACACGAGAGTTTTGTAACCTGTTCGAAGTAATGCGTTCTTATCAGATAAGCACATGTAAAGTAAATTTTATAACAGAGACATAAAAAATAAGAAACACTTTTTTATGAATATACTTTGTCCGATATGAATTAACTGTGCCTCAAGATATCCTGAGTCGTCGTCTTGATAGATCAATTCATTATATCTGGTATTCTGACACTGAATAATTTTGACAATGCTACATCATCATTTTCAGACAATAATTGAAGTTCGTAATAATTTATTTTAATGACCCTATTGTTGATTTACCCCTTGGAACGTAATTTTTCTTTTTTCTTCTCTTTAATGTCATTTTTCTCATACCAATTTGACTTCTATTGATTTTCTCATTCGTCAGTGTAGGCTGCATTCCATACTGTCTTCTCTATATGACAACGTCCTTCTTTCTCTATCAGACAGAAGGAAGCAGGTGGGTATGACTGCGTAGTGTCTAAGTGCGGCAGTGTGATGCAGGTACGAGCGCAGAGAAAACACTGACAGTGACGCTCTCTCCCAAACCCACACTAGCACCGGACCTCGCCAACATGCACATTCTGAAAGACAACAGCATCTTTATCCTCAGCAGAATCTACACCACTTCGTTCACTGACGCCTATATCACCCAGTCAAACAACACCGATGAAAGACCACGTTTTCACGCGTAATAATGTACGCTTTCAAGAAACATTTTCGTGTTAAAATCTGAGCCCGAGGTAAATCAGGTCTCGAAACTTCTTACAAAAATGAAATTTATTTTCTCACCACTTTCTAAGCAGAAACAGTGCAGATTTTCACGTACTGTAACTTGTGAAAAGTATCCATTCTCTGATAGGATAGTTCCCGCGCCGATACCAATACCTCACATTCACACACGGCCTAGCTCCTCCCAAACCGACACGCATACGCACGCGTACATCCACACTTCACACTCATCCTGACTTCCCCATCACCCACAGGCACACTGATACACACACTTCACTCATACCCCAACCTACTCATATCCTACACCTTCGCCAGAATTCGTTTTAGTAAGAGAAATGGCCGCTGCTGTCCTCAATACAGCACACTGTGTGAATCAAGTATGCATGTATGATTTGATTGTAATTGTTGATATCAGAATGTGAGCGTGTGAGCGCAGATCTAGGTCTGAATGCGGATCTGGGTGTGACTACTTTTTTTCAACCACACTCACATCTTTTACATCTACTCACACTCTAAAGTTGACTGTCAGTTGGAATCCTAGAGTACAGTTTTTTACTCAAGATAAATGTAACAAGACTTCACTGTTTGTTCTTGCCATTGCAGATAAAGCAAATTTAAGACTATTCATATGTGCGCTGCGTCTTTAAACAGCATCGAACGACGCAAAATTGCTTTGCTGATTGGAAACAACAAGTACAAGCAATCGCCATTAAATAACTGTGTTAACGATGCAGAGGATTTGAGCAAAGCACTCAAAAATATTGGATTCTTGGTTATCACCAAAACAGATCTCAAGTGTGACGAGATGAAACAAGAAATCAAAAATTTCGTCAGGTCTATTCGGTCAGGAGATGTTGTCATCTTCTTCTTCTCAGGTCATGGAACACAACATAAAGATGAAAACTATTTAATTCCATGTGATGACGATCAAATTGAAGAGTTAAGCGATTTGGAAGATTATGCGACTAACGCACAAAGAGTCCTGGAAAAAATGTACGACAAGGACCCTTTTTTACTTGTGTATTTGCTTGACTGTTGCCGCACCTATCGATTGCCAAGTGTGTCAACGTCTAGATCATCGAAGTCATCATCAACAGGGATGGCAACAATGTCTGCGAAAGCTGGTATGTTGATAGCTTTTGCTTGTGCTCCTGGTACAATCGCCCAAGACGAAGCGTCAAATGGACGTAATGGAATATTTACATATCATCTACTACAAAATATTACTCGCCCTGGAGAAGATATCATGATGCTGCTTAGGGACGTAACTACCGGAGTGTACAATGATACAAAAGGAAAACAAATACCTCACATTACATCCGTTTTGATGCAACGAGATATTTTTTTGGCACCAAAACAAGAATCAGCCATTCCATTGTCTGGAGAGTTGGGAAGATATTCACAATCAGAGGCCATTTCAATGCTGCAACGTAAATATAATTTTATTCTCATCTTATTGACAGTCTGCTATAGCATACAGGAATAAACTCTTCTGGGAGTTCTATAACTGTGTAGAATTTTTCAAAAATTGTATCGAAGAAGATTGAGCAGATTGATTAGTAGGAATTCTCAAAATTTAATGACTTTGAAAGTTAAAGAAAAATGCATTAATCAACAGCTCAAGACTATGCAGTAACAGAATGTACATACTTCAATAATTGAATATTGATTCAATCTATAAAAATATATTGAGTATCTGGACTAGGTGCTCAAAGTCGAATTATTACAGAGAGTAGTGCAAAATAATTTATTAGTAAAACAAATTATGAAATTAATTATTACTCTATAGTTTCGAATTCTTTCTCATAATCGAATCGGATTTGAGTGGAAAACGATCCCTATAGTGATTTGTAGCTGGAACCGAAAGTAGTAAGCAGTACCGGTAGTAAACCGTCGATATACCAATAGTTCGTATGACTACCGCAAGATCTTATTGATATTGTGAATGAATGTGTGACATGGGTTCTATACTCTCATATATTTGACTTCTAAGTAAAAATGTAAGCCAAAGGCTAAAACGATGCGCAGACGAGAATGTCAGTCTCATATGATTCCTAGCTAGATAGCTGAGAAGGCGACTCAAACTCGCACCCAAAACACTCCCGAAGTAGCTGCACTAAGGCCTAATGCTATCCGGAAACACTCACACACTCATATCTACCGCTAAGGTCACTGCGTAGTAGTCTATCTCTTTGCAGATGATAGATCTAATTGTAGCAGAAAACTATAGCACAGTAGGAGTTTTATTGCAAGAGATATACGTCTTACCTTTAGAGAAATTGTAGAATGACAGGAACTTAAACATTGTTCATGTTACGACTGTGATCAACCCTACGAAGAAAGGGTGTGGGTGTGGATACGGATGAAGTGAAGACTCAGGTCCACACTCACACTCACATCGTCCGGAGTCCAAAAATCCAGCAGGGTGAATTTAAATAAGAAAAATAATCTGACAAAAGGTGTGTCACACATGAACAAATAGATTCCTACTAGCCTTATGCTCATCTCATGTGCTTTTTGAGACTTTCTTTAACTAATTAAATGTAAAGTTGCGAAACTTTGAAAAAGTAGAATATATTCCACTGATAACGCGAATATCAACTATTCACTTCGTTTTTCGAATCCTCAAAAGCATGATCCAGATGAAAATTAATTCATAGATAATAAAATTTATTTGTTGATTATATGGTTTACCTTTATTATACTATTATTTAGCGAAGTAAAATTTCCTAGTTTATGAAAATCATCTCACGCCAAATTTAGTTAAAAGCATGCCATTTTGAAAGATTCATGATTGTGACAGTGTTTGAGGTACGATTTTACCATAATTCTGAGCCGTTTTCATCACACATGAATAAGGATTGCATTAGGATTGAATTATTTCTGATTGAAGGTATTCCGGTGATCTTTTTCACTGTCTTCATTTATACAAGTTATTCAAACAAAATGATCATGTAGGTCAGAGATTGAAATTAAGTCAAACGTTTCGATTCAATTGAAATCAATCTAGTCGAATGGGGTGAAGATGCCTTTATTTGTATTTTTCTTTTTATCATGAATTCATAGAGAAGAAAAAGAAAATAAACGATTAAACCAAAAAAGGTGTTGAAATGCATTCGAGTAATAATTATATTAAAATTTTCAGAGCACATTTTAATTAGTAATGCAGATTTTTGTCAATTTATGTTTATATAACGCAACATAAAGATCTTTGAGTTTGTGGTGTGCTTAAAGAAGACAAGAAACAAGATATTCTTCCACTAAGTAATCGCTGATGCAGTTAAGTAAAAAAAAGATGTTATTTAATTTACTGAATTCTATGTTTCTTCGTTAGCGTCAATAGAAGCTAAAAAATGATTCCTTCAGTACTTGAAGGACTACGTTAGTCTACATGAATTAAACTAAGCATACGTATTATTGAACAAATAAAGATAATTTTCCTTAGACCTATATACATGAAGCACTATGTGTTTCATCAGCTATTGTTTTTTAGGATACTATTTGCATATAATATGAATTAATCACTAAAGTGCTCACTTTTCGGTTGTAATATAAAAAGATTATAATCAAAAGCAATTATATGAATTTCAACTTTTTATCATTTTCAGAGATTATCGTGATAAGATGCTTTCTAGTATGTGTTGAATAAATTCATATTCCGTTAAAGAATTTGATAATTTTTTGCACTAAAGTTGATTTGGGATTCTTTGAGTAATTAACTTTTCCCGGTAAATCTTCGATACGATCAAGCATGATATCAACCACTATCGCATCATCTCCCATGTGGCTATTCGGCGATAATTTCGAGTTCTACTGACTTCAACAGAACGGATGATTTGTGAATAGTTCTTTTCTTGAAATAAACTTACAAGAATATATTTTGAAGATCGTATCAGGAGATAAACCACAAAATGCAATAAGAATAAACACAAATCGCAGATAGCTAATAAATTATGCAGATTAAGATCGATACAAAACTTG